CCCTGGCCTGGCTTGCTCTGGGTTCAGTCCCTCTTGGCAGGTTTAGGACAGGTAGGAGACCTTGGCCAGGTGCCAGTCTGGGGTGTCCATGGGCACCAGGCAGTTCCAGAGGTGCTTCCACAGCATTTTGGGATTGAGGGAGAAAGGCTGGGGACACCAGTGAGTGCTGTTTGGTACTGGCAGGTGTCATTTTTGTCTGGTGATGTCTGGACTCACACCACACCCTGAGTGTCCCATTCCACTCCTGGCTGTGGATCACAGAGGAGGGATCTGGGGCACGGAGCAGCCACCCCACAGCCCCTCTCAATTCCCATCCCAATTCCTGAACGTGGGGTTTGCAAAGGCAGCAACAAAGGCACAGGAAGAAGCAGAGGAAGAACACACAGGAATGTGGAAGTGCTAAAAAGCAGGAATAGGAAAAGGGAAGTGCAGGAAAAACAAACTACCCAGGGAAGGCAGAGAAAGCAAAAGCAGAGTAGCAGAAAAGATCCCTCCATCCTGGTTATAACTGAGCTTTTTACCTTCACTGGCCACAGAACTCTCCTGAACAGGAGCTTCTGGCGCCTGCTCCATCTCCTGAATTCATGTCCTCTCCATCCCAGGGAAAACCATGCTTTTCTTCCCTCTCTCCCACAAGTCTCACACTCCATTTAGACCAAAGGGCTTTGCCTTGCAAATCTGGCTGCTGTGTCCTGTCTTTCACAGCTCCCATTAAAAACGTGCTTGTGCACACCTGGAGCTGTCTCCAGGTTTATCCAGGGAATAATCAGTGTCTAGGAGCTGCCCACAGCAGTTCTTGTGCAGTGAGGGAATAATGCAAGAAGGACCACGATGTCCAAATAGACATTCTCCCCACATCACTCTGTCCTGCTTTCAGACCTTCAGTCATCCTCCAACCCTTTGATTCAGCACACAAAATATAAACATAGGACAGAAATGACTCCTCTCTCCTAAGGCACCAGTCACAATTTGGTGGTTAATACAAAATCGTATTTCAAATCCTAAGGCAACGTTCTTAGACCAGAATTCCCATTTATAAGTTTATGCATGTGACAGCAGTTTAATTTTGAAAATACACGGTCAATTTAGCTTTACCAATGATTCTAACCTCAGTCACTCATTATAAAAAGATGACTGATGGTGTCAGTTGAGGCAAACAGGCATTAACTTACCCACCACTTCATCATCTGGCTGGAAAAAGGTCACCTTGCTTCCAACTCACCATGGAGAGGTGAAAAGGAGGAAAGAAGAGAAATATTTATAGCTGGAATGGGATGTGCATTTGGAAGCACTGGTTATTACTAGATCACAAAACTAAAGATATACATTTATAGTGAAAAAACATAATTCTATGGATTACACACATGGCAAGCCCAAATGTTGGATTCCCTAACTCCGGCACCTCAGCTACAAGAAGTTCCATGCAGGAACACACAGGTGGTGTCTGAGAGCCAGGCTGCACACTCCACCTCAGGGGAGTGATAACAGCACTGGGAGAGCAATCAAGGAAGCAAAGAATTGCTGCTTCTAAAGGTGCCCTACCCAAAAAGGAGTTCTTTCTTCTGACTGGAATCCCTGCTCCCTCCCCTCCCTGCGCAGTGACACTCACTCACCTTCCAGCACAACTCCCGAAATTTCTCTCCCAACAGGCACAAGTTCCTTCTTCAGTTTAATTTCTGACAGGAGCTAAATGAAAACAATGCCTACAACATCTTGAAAAAGGCTCTGTATTTACATATTTATTATCATCTTACAGCATTGTATCATCAGTAAGGCTGGGCAATTACCAAAATGATATCCAGGGGGAAAAAGGTGCACACATTCCTCAGTCAACATTAAATCAGGGCACTGAATTCTGCATTTCAATTTAGAAATATATTAAAAATTAAAAGCAGGGAGTTATTACCAGCCAAGCCAATTTGTGACTTAAGAGTGCAAATGAAGAAAAAAGGGATTTATTGCAAGAGATCTCACAGCTGACAACTGATCTGTCTCCATAAATTAGAAACCAAATTCCAGATGCTATTTATTCAGAGCTGTGCAAGAATCCCAGACCAGTCCTGTGCCCACTGCCAGCAGCAAAGCCACAGCCAAGGGCCATGGAAACCACAGACACCCCCAGCTTTACACAACACCAAGCAAATACCTTTGTGTCCACCCAGCTCAGAGCACAAGCTCTGACCTGCACCTTCACATCGTGGTCTCTGGTGGGAGGCAGGTTCTCCTAGGACAGATTTACAGTTGCTGTGTTAGACAATGGATGTGCCCACAGGAGCTTCTCCAGCTCCTGAAAGCATTTCTCCACTTCTTTAGTGGGGAAAGCACACAGGTTTTTCCAATGAAAAGGGGTTTACAACACCATTTTTAGTACATGTACATTATTGCTATTATTATTATTATTATTATTATTATTACCATTATAATATAATACAATTGTTATTTTTATTACTATTAACATTAGCATTATATTATTATTGCAAACTGGTCACTAGACCTTACTCATCATTATCATCTTCATCATTATTAGGTTACTATATTCTGATATTATTATTGCAAACTAGACCTTACTAAACCTCATCAGACACTGACATTATTTTTCTGTTGAGGTTTTTTTTTCCCTTTATCTGAGGCACAAATCCTGACAAACCTGAGCTCAACATTCAAGTCCAAAATGAAGTCTAAATGATGTCAAAGAAACAACCTCAGTAAGAACCGGTGTTGTTACCCCAAACCTGATAGATTCTTCAAGCTCTGTTTCTACTTTTCCAGGGACTAGAAAATGCAGTCAGGAAATGTGTGTCCAGGGTTCATTTTTCAAGACTGCAAAGCTTACTTGTAAAGTCTGGACACCAAAACTGCAGAGAAATTCAGCAGTGGTCTTGGCAAGTGCTGATGATAGAACTTGCTGCAAATGCACCTCCCCTACCAGTCCTTTCCCAAGCCTGCACAAGATTTCTGTGCCTCAGTTCCTCCGTGACACTCAGCCAAACTCTCCTCTCCCACTGCCTGATGGACAGAGCTGTTCTGATGGGAACTCACTCTTTCTTGGAACACAAATGTCATTTCCTCTCCAGGAGAATTCTGCTGACCATACAGGGCCTTCATAGCGACCTGAAAAACCCAGCAACCAAACTGTGACATCTGCAGTGTCTGTGGGCAAACAAGGCATTAAAGCCCTGGTAAATTAAAGTAAATTAAAGCACTCTGTAAGAAACACAGCCATTGTTTGCAGGCAATTTGAGTCTTTGTGATACAGAATTTCTAAACCAGATCAACGGTTTAGTTGCCCATAACAGAGAAAATCCACAAAACTGAGAGTCACAGAGTCGTGGAATGGTTTGGGTTGGGAAGGACCCCAAATCCCACCCATTCCCAGCCCTGCCATGGCAGGGACACCTCCCACTGTCCCAGGTGCTCCCAATGTCCAGCCTGGCCTTGGGCACTGCCAGGGATCCAGGGGCAGCCCCAGCTGCTCTGGCAATTCCATCCCAGCCCCTGCCCACCCTGCCAGGGAACAATTCCTGCCCAAGATCCCATCAAATCCTACTCTGAAGCCATTCCCTGGCTCCTGGCCCTGCAGCCCTTGGCCCCAGTCCCTCTCCAGCTCTCCTGGAGCCCCTTCAGGCCCTGATGTAGGTACAGCAAAGGCACCGAAGGACACAGCATTTACTGACGGCTGTCCCGTTCAGCAGAGGGGCTCTGTGCCACCCAACCACACAATTCAGACAGGGGCACTGCAAAGGGGACACAGGGAATTCCCGTGCAGGAATACAGCGAGCCTTACTCGTGACTTCACCAAAAATCACCGCCTGGGTTTCTGGTCTCCTCTCCCGCCTCGGTCCGCGTCGTCCTCAACGAACAGGAACCTTTAGAAAGGAAAAAACAACGAAAACCAAAACAACCAAACAGTAAAACTGAGCTAACGAGGAAAAAAGAAACCAGGGAGTAGAGAGGCAGGAAACCATGCGATCACTATTGCAGCTCTAAGCCCTGAGAGACCATCCCGAGACCCCCCCGCATGAGGCCGTGCCCGCCCCGCGACCCCCGGGAAGCCCTTCAAGGGCTCCGAGCGCACCCGGCCCGCACCGAGAGGTTCCGACAGCCCCGGGCCAGCCCTCAGGAGCTCGGAGCTCACCTGGCCCGCACCGAGAGGTTCCGACAGCCCCGGGCCAGCCCTCAGGAGCTCGGAGCTCACCTGGCCCGCACCGAGAGGTTCCGACAGCCCCGGGCCAGCCCTCAGGAGCTCGGAGCTCACCTGGCCCGCACCGAGAGGTTCCGACAGCCCCGGGCCAGCCCTCAGGAGCTCCGGTTCCGCGGGACTCCCGAGCGCCGCGACGCGCGCGCGGTTGCCATGACACTCCCTCACTTCCGCCTCGCCCTCAGGCACCGCCCCCCCGCCCTGCAACCAATCATTGCATCCAGCGGCACGTGAGCGCTCGCGATTGGTCGCATTGGCCGCCATTCATCGTGGAAGCCGAGGTACGATTGGTTCTCGCGGATGTCACTCACTCACGAGGCGAGGAGGGAGGATACGGCGCCCGGCACGACCTCTGGGACATCGCCGGGGAGAGGGAGCAGACGCCACTTGCAATTACCTCATGAATTAACACCGTATGCACAATACAGACCCCTCCCGCGGGCGGAGAGGAGGGAGCGCGGCTGCCCCTCACCGCTCCCCAATCGCTGGCCCCTCAGCCTGGCAGAGCTGTAATTGGTGGGGTAGGCGGGGCCTTGCAGTCATCCCCGTTTCTGATTGGTGGAGCCCCCTGCCTGTCACGCGGGGAGCGGGTGGAGCTCGCACGTCAGTGCGGGGCTGTCAGATCTCTGATTGGCTGGAAGGGGCGGGGCTCTGGCTCTTTTGTGGGCTCTGATTGGTGACATTCCCTGCCCGTCACACGGGGGGCCGCGGCCGCGCGTCAGTACGGCGGCCGCGAGGGGCTCCTCCCCCCTCCCCTCAGACGGGGCGAGGGCGGCGATGGCGCGTCCGGCGGAGGCGGCTGCGGGCGCCGCTCCGGCCCCTCCGGCCCCTCGGTCCCCTGGCCGCGGCCGGGGCTGTGAGTAGGGCCTGCACAGACATGAGGTACGGCCCGGAGAGACGGGGGCAGCGGGGGGCGCGGGCTGCGAGCGGCGGCGGGTCA